AATAACCTCAATACAGTTAGGTTTTCCCTTCATTTTCAAGCCTCTTTCCAGCGGATGAAACTGGGAGGAGGTAATGAAAAAAGTTGTCCAATCCCCACCAACCACTGTCACCTTCTAACCAGTTACCTTTCTGTTTGTCATTTCAACTCTGCACCATATGAACCATTTTGTTGCTGTTTCTTTCCTCCATATCATCAAAAACTTTCCACATTTAATACACACAGAAGGAAAATGCAGTGTTGTGACCTACACACTTTTAACAAATGCAGAAGGTCCCTGGATTACAAAAAAAAACATCTTTGAATAGTGAATTTTTAAAAATATTGTCTCGCAGGACCACCGATCACCAGCCTTTGGCCGGAGTGGTTTATTGCACAAAAACACCAGGACGCAGGCATTCTTAACTAGAACAACCAGAACACAACCTGAAACAATGCCTATTCTGAATTGTGTGGCCTTGATTTCAAATCTTAGTTTGCTACTAAGCACTGTTTGATTTAAAATGGTTTTAACTTGATGTTGTTTGTTAGAACATCCTTCTCTAATGATCTTGTTTGCAGAGAATTATTCGAAGCTATCTCTTCTTTGGTTGGTGCTTCCAAGTCCACACATGTCATGTGGATGATGATGCCTCTTGGTGGCCTTCATCGCCTTTGGCTTTGCATGTGATAAGTCAAGTAAGTCACCTAAAAGTAGGTTTCTTAACTTTCTAATTCTTTTCCTTTTCTCGTACAATTAATGGCTGGATATTGTTGAATGTTTTAATTATTTTCTCTTGTAGTTATCATTATTATTAATGGATATTTGTAGTATTTATATTGGTCCTTCGCACTTGATCGTCAAATTTTATAGCAATTTTGAATGAGTCCCCATAAAGTTAAAATTTGATTGAATTTTGTCGTATGGTAAAATTTTGTTGGTTAGATCGGAAGAGTAGGTTCAGTTTTATACTTTTTCACAACATTGAGCTTTGGTAGCTTAAGGATGTTGAATACTAATCTTGGTTTAAATCCGTTTGATTTTTTTCTTTAAACTTTTCAAATATCTATTTTGATCCTTCATGTAAATTTTATAAATCAATCATTTTAATCATCAATTTTTATGTCTTCAAAAATTAATATAGTAGTTTTGAATTTATGTACTATCATGTCTTAATGATTTAGTACTAACGTCAAACAAAATTAAAAGTTTAGAGATAAAATTTGAATATGGGAATTTAAAGTAGATTGTCTACCTAAAAATTACTCTATTTACTTCATTTTCCAAACATGACAAAAACTTTAAAAACTTTTTTTTATTTTTTATTTTTGTTGTAATTGAATATAATGAGGTATATGTTTTAAAATACCATGCTTTTAAAATTGCTATTTTAAGTAGGTTAGGTCTTTAAATAAAAACATCAATTATCATTTTAAAAACAAAAACTCAATTTATGCCTTGTAATTATTAGCAAAAACCAATAAAGGAGAAATAAATGTTTTTTTAATTCATTTTTAACTTACTAGAAATTTTCGAAAAAGAAAAAAGAAAAACAATTATGTTGACTTGATAAAATTGCAGTAATTAAACCTAAATACGAAATTTGACAATTGGGCAAACCTTCGAATTGATTGATTGATTGCACTAAAATTGGAGACAAATGTTTTAAAATTCCAATCCCACTACAAACAATTTAGTGCTTTTTAAATAAATTAAATTAAATTAAATCAAATTAAAAATATACCAAAAATAGTCAAATCTTGATAACGAAAGCCAAAAAGATATCGTTTGGCAAAAAAAAAAAAAAAAAAAAACATATTTCCTTTTTTTTTTCAAAAAAGAAGATACGATTAAACGTCCCATCTAAATGCGTGATCTATAAATCCACGTGGAAGGACCACGTTCAAATTCCGTTATTCTTCCGCCACGTGTCGATATTTCCGGTGATGACTGACAGCCAGTCACCCTATTTTAGCTGTCACGTAACAATTCGTTCTTTCTAATCCTGAAACGTGGCAAGAGAATGACGGGTAAGCTGGCTTCCATTTTCTTTTTTCTTTTTTCTTTTTTTTCGAATTTTAAAAGACTTAAAATATATTTTTCTGTACAAGTCAATGCCAAAGATATTTAAAGCTGGGAGTTTTAATAATTGTTTGGAATAAAGTTTTCTTTTCCTTTCTAATTAAAAAAAAATAAAAAATTACTTTACATTAATCAATGCACAATAACCTACTATATAATTAAAAAAATATTTTTATTCTTTACATTAATCAATGGCATAATAACCCACTATATACAAAATTAATTACAACATTTAAATTTTATACTAAATAGATACTATTTATAGACCAAGTTTATTAATTTAATTTATAAAAAATGGAGGGGCCGGTGACAGAGAAGAAGGTCACGTCCGTGTCACGTGGTATTACCTGATGAATAGGGCACCGGCTTTTCTGTTTAGATTTTTCGAACCAAATAATAATAATAAAAAATAAAAAATTACAAAAAATAAATAAATAAATAAAATAATTGATGGGTGGGGTTTTAAATGCGTTTGCTTTGGCATTACCAATCAAAACGACAACTCTGCGCCTTTTCCCACTTGGTACTTTTCATCTCTCAATTCTTGTTTATCCATTTATTATTTTTTTATTTATTAAAATTTATATTTCTATTTCTCACTTTTTATATTTTATTTCTTAAATTTAACTCGCTTATTTTGTCCTTCTTCTTTCTTTTCTTTATAGGGGTAGAATCGTATGTAATTTATACGAGGACCTGTAATTTATACAAGGACCCTTCTCGTCAATGATAATTATTAAATTATATTTAAAATTTAATTATAACATCAGTAATTTCAATAAATTTTGTGTTTATTTTTTAATTTTGAGCTTTATATTACTAAATCTAAAAATATTATTAATAAATATTTTAAAATTTAGTAATTAAATAAAAGGATTAAAAAATATATTTATAATTAAAGGGTGAAACGTGGCAGATTGTGGTGGGTGGAGGATGAGCCATCACTCAACGAAAAGACATCTCTTAGTGCTTACCATTAGCTCTAAAATTTTCCTCTTTTATATTTTACTCTTCACTACCCCCACCATTTTCTTAATATTAAAAAAAAAATTAAATAATAAGTTAAAAAAATTATATTCATTACTTTTTGCATTAATTGTCAAAAGGCTCATAAATATTATATTCGTTTAATTTTGAGATGAACTATTTTCCTTTCGTTTTTTGTTTCTTCTGCTCTATTTGTTATCTTCTTTTTTACTGGTCACTGTCGTCATCTGTTTTTTCCTCTCGGGCATTGTTTTTCTCGATTAGTCAATTAATGAACTTTTAATATTGTGCATTTTTTTAAAAGATAAGGAGCTCGATAAACCGTGAACGGCCAAATTTAAATTTCGCCACCAAGAAATAAAATATTATATTTTAGTTGATTGAATTTAAGTTTGAATGATGGTTACTTTTTACATTAATTATCAAAAGAGTCAAAGTTATATCCCCATTATAACCCAATAAGCATTTATGGCCAAACAAATCCATCAACTCTAAAGATTAATATCTATTATTTATGGTAAATCTCTGTTAATGTTATTTAATTAGTGTAATTATTAATTAATGTTAAGTTAGTAATAACTAAACAATGATATTTACTCACTCAAAGTTCTCTCAATTATTATATATTTTATTTCATTCCCACATTAAAATGAATTTGGCTATAACATACATTTAGTAATTCTTATCCTCATCCTAAGTTTTAAGTCCTACTACGCCTTTCTAATTTTAGATACCCATACGAGTCATTGTTGACTACGTCTCTGCCTTTTGAACACACCATCCATCGCTCCTACTGATTGAATGATTCGGTGAAGTGTCCGAATCGCGGCGACGTGAGTGGTTCACTACCAGTAACGTCGCAAGAAGTTCACTGAACCTTATCATCTAAAGGAAGGAGAAGTCATAACAAGATTTCTGTAGGTGAAAATATGGGACTGATACCTAAACATTAAACGATCCATGAACACGAGTAATTTCGTGCATAGTTTTGATTCTCTCGAATATAAATATTAATTTTTAATTGTACTAGAGTAGAGTTAGGATATAATTTAATCCGTCTGAAATTTGAGATTCTAGAAAAGTTCTAGAGACTTAGATATAATATGAGGCATTAAAGACGGAGAGGATATGTGTTTAATGATGAGTGGATAAGATCTTAATGCCACGACTCATTCCTTGTTTCTAACACAAATTTTAAGCCAGACATCTAATTTCTTAATTAAATTATGAGTTTAGTCTCGTAATTATGATTTTTTTTAAGTGTCTAATAAATCTTTAAATTTGTTTAATATATTTAAATATATTATTAATTTTTAAAATTTTATTAAAAAATATTTATTGGGTGTATATACAAGATATCATAATTCATTAAAAAAAAAAAAAAAAAGTAAACATCAAGTGGATGAAAACAAGCTTCCAAAAGCTTTGTTGAGTTCCTTTGTGGAGAGGTAATGTAAGAAGAAAGAATGGCCTCACATTTGGCCACCAAAAGGGACCTCAAACTCAAACACAATTTTGATTCTTTTCACCTTAAATTCAAATTAATCAATAAACCTTTCCCTTAATCCGTATAAAAAACGCGTTCCATCACGACCACATTCATATATGTTAAACTCGTCTCATCTATTTTTTTTTTCAATTTAGTCCCTTGAGTTGTAACATTTTTCAATCATGCCCTTCGTCTCGGTAAGCGTTAAATTCAAGGGCTACTAAATACGAAAATTCTAAAGAGGTACACGTGTACGGCTAAGATGGTAGGGCTGCTTGAGAAGGATTGATGCTTGGTGAGATTGTACAAAATGTGTTTCCTCCTAAAAATCTATTAATATCATGGGCAGAAATATGGGATATAGGGCAAATTTGTAATATGGGATATAACATAAGGGTGTTTTGGGTAGTGAAAAATGAACTGTTTCTTCCTCTTAATGCTGTTTATATAAGAAGTGAATGTGTACCATTGAAGGTGCAATAGATTGAGCCAACTCTTTCTCTCTCTATAAGTTCTTCACTTCTGAATCTCCACTCTCCTTCAACATCACAAAAAAGGTATGGTCAATATGAACTAAATGAATCTTCTTCCACAATTATGAATGTCAAACCAATGTTTTTATGTCACCACTAGGAAGAAAGAAGGTTGGAGGCGACATGGAGAAGACAACGAGTTCATTAGCTCTAGCGAGGACGAAATCCGATCAACTTTTGGAGAAGGTGGCAGCAGCATTCAAGTCTCCGACGTCGAGCAGCGAGGTGAACGGTGGGGTGGTGGGGGAGAGTGGCAGCACAACCCTCTCGAGGAAGTCGAGTAGGCAGACGTTGACAGCTCCTTCACCAGGGCGTGGCAGTGGCAGCGGTGCTCGAAATACACACATCAGGAAGTCCAGGAGTGCACAGCTGAAGCTGGATTTGGATGATTTGGGCAGTGGTGCAGCTTTGAGTAGAGCTTCAAGTGCTAGCTTGGGTTTGTCATTCTCCTTCAATGGCTTCACTTTGCCACCTGATGAAATTGCAGATTTTAAGCCATTCAGTGATGAAGATATACGTAAGTCGTTCTTAATTTATGTTTTGCTAATTTTGAAGATTTTTCGTCGTCGTCGTGTTCATCGTCATCTACTTTCTTGTCATGTTCGTGTTTTCGTCCAACTTTTTTGATATGGTCCACACAATGTGTTGAGTTAAGGCAGAAAGAGTTGAAGATGAGAGAGCGTTCGGGTATGAGTCATTCGGAAGAGTTCGCTAGAAACCTATACTCATTTTTTTCTGGTCCCCTTTTTGTTTGATAAAGAGAAAGTGTCATGGTTTCCCTTACAATGGCAAAACTAAAAATGGTTGTAGCAATAAAAGCTCTCAAATCTTGTGGTTGTCTGTCTGACCTTCTGCCTCTCTCTCTCTCTCTCTAGTCATACCAATTTATGTTCATAATACTTAAACTCAGAATAAAATAAATTACTATTGTTTTATATTTTGGCTCTATTGTTAATAACCCGCCTCCGAATTCAAGTACTGTAAGTACAAATTTGGAGTTTTTCCCTGTACGTTTTCCACACCCTTATAAAAAATGTTTCGTTTTCCTCGATGTGGGATCTCATAATTCATCCTCATTCAGGGTCCAGCGTCCTCGCTGACACACCGCTCGGTGTCCACCCCTTTGGGGTTAAGTGTCCTCGCTGGCACATCGCCCAGTGTCTGGCTTTGATACAATTTATAACAGTCCAAAACTACCTCTTGTCCTCTTTGGGTTTCCCCCTCAAGGTTTTTAAAACGTTTCAGCTAGGTAGAGGCTTTCACACCCTTATAAAGAATATTTCGTTCCCCTCTCCAACCGACGTGAGATCTCACGAAAACTTGAAAAAGAAAAGGCTATTAGTAGGAACTTGGAATCAAACTAGCAGAGTGACCCATGGCCCACAAATTTAGATATGTTTTGTGTTATTTAATGGAAAAGTCAAGTCCTTGAAGACTTCAATTTCATATTTATAGGCTCAAATTCCCTACCTACCTTTGACTCCTGCCCTGTATATCTAGTTGACATTTTTTACTCTTCCCGACTGCTTTCAGTCCATTATTAGCTACCAAAAAATGTCATTAAGGCACTAAGTGTATGTTAGTCACTAATTAAGGAATTGGTTATAAATAGAGTGAATCAAGCTCGAGTTAACTCGGAAGGGAGAGGTCCGAGTTCATCAAACTACATGGGGGTGTTCGTTTGAATTTTCGTATTTTGCAAGTTATCAGTATATTTTCAAGAATCAATCAAGTAGCTTGGGGTAAAATCCCAATTCAACCGTTTAACATCTATATGCATATAATATAACAGCAGAGGATGTAGAAGCAGGAACAGGCAAGACCAAATTTCAAACAGAACCAACCATGCCCATTCAGCTCAAGGTAAATAAAGTGTTCTTTCATCATTGAAATACAGTGATTTCTCCCACAAAACATGGCCACCTAAATCTTTGATAATAAAAAAAAAACAACAAAAAGACAAAAAAACAAAGAATGTTTTCAGAATTGTATGTGTTTGTTTTGTTGATAGCAAATGAACTTATGTCTATCTATTTGGACAGGCAAAAGACAGGAAGATTGATGTAGAGATAAAAGCACAACCCCCATAGAACATGGCTAAGCTAGCATGCAAATTATAGCATGGTCAGGTTCAGTCTTGTACGAGGTTTCATTTTATATGATAATTCATGTACAAGACTCATCCCATCTTTCCACCTAACTTAGAGAACATAAAAAGCAGCAGAAACATAACTAAAAAACTTCAAAAGGATAATTGTCCTCTTGTAATCTTAGATTAGCCCATTTTTTTAAATATTTAGTTCATGCTCGTCAAAAGAATCAGGTTGTTTAAGACTCGAAGAAGCTAATCAACGCTTACGGACCTACTTCCATTTCTTTAGGAAAACATAGCCATCTCTAACTTTTACTGAACTCATCCTATTGTCTGGATCAAATATTTTGCAGTTCACGGATGTTACTTATAAAGTAATCATAAAAGGATTGCGGACAAATGTGGAGAAGGAGATTTTGAATGGTATTACCGGTTTAGTAAACCCTGGTGAAGTTCTGGCCTTAATGGGACCTTCAGGAAGTGGCAAGACAACATTGCTCAATCTGCTTGGAGGACGGCTCATACGGTCTACAGTTGGTGGTTCGATTACGTACAATGATCAGCCATACAATAAGTTCCTGAAAAGCAGGCAAGATTTCTAGTCAGAGTTCATGATACAATTAGAAAATACTGATGTAGAACGGTAATTAAGAAAATAAAATGGCATTACAGGGTAGGATTCGTGATGCAGGAGGACGTTCTGTTTCCCCACTTGACGGTGAAAGAAACATTGAGATATGCAGCTTTGCTTCGACTGCCAAAAACATTGACAAAAGAGCAGAAGGAAAAGCGTGCGGTCGATGTCATATATGAGCTGGGCCTTGAAAGGTAAGGATTTGCAGCTTTTTCTAATGGAAGCATAAGATATACATCCTTCTAGATTAGGCGCTCACCGATATAGCCTCTGCAGGTGCCAGGATACAATGATTGGTGGCTCCTTTGTCCGTGGAGTTTCAGGTGGAGAAAGGCGTCGAGTCTCTATAGGCAATGAGATTCTAATCAATCCGTCACTGCTGTTTCTTGACGAACCGACCTCGGGCTTGGATTCTACAACTGCATTGAAAATTGTTCAGATTTTACATGAGATAGCTGAAGTATATATCATAAAATGCACGTTCTTCTTCTGTTTTGCTGATTAGCTTCATCATAGAATGATTAAGTTTTTCTTCAATGGCAGGCGGGGAAGACCGTGGTGACAACGATTCATCAACCATCAAGCAGACTATTTCATAAATTTGACAAGCTAATTCTTCTTGGAAAGGGAAGCTTGATCTATTATGGCAAAGCAGCTGAAGCAATAAACTATTTCTCATCTATAGGATGTTCCCCACTAATTGCAATGAATCCTGCTGAGTTCTTGCTGGATCTTGCAAATGGTAACCTGAATGATGTGTCTGTTCCATCAGAGCTAGAGGATAAGGTGCAAATAGAGAATTCTGAGGCTGACAGTACACAGGATAAGCCTTTACCAGTTCTTGTGCAAGAGGTATGTTTAATCTCGACTTCTTTAGCTTTGATTTTAATACGATGGATTGATTTGAATACAATAATCTTTGCAGTATCTGGTGGAGGCTTACGAGACGAGAATTGCAGAAACAGAAAAGAGGAAGATGTTGGTACCTCTGACGCTCGACGAAGAGCTGAAATCGAAGGTAACATATTCGAAAAGGCAATGGGGAGCGAGCTGGTGGGAACAATACTCGATTCTGTTCCGGAGAGGAATCAAAGAAAGACGTCATGAATACTTCAGCTGGCTGAGAATCACTCAAGTTCTTGCCACCGCCATAATTTTAGGATTACTGTGGTGGCATTCGGATAGCAGCACTCCGAAAGGCTTGCAAGATCAGGTAATTCAACTCCTCCATTGTTGTACAAACTTTGAAGCTTGAAATTAAGCTTTGATTTTCTGTTCATGAATGTAATAAGATAAAATTACATTTCGTAGGCAGGATTATTGTTCTTCATAGCAGTGTTCTGGGGGTTCTTCCCTGTGTTCACAGCAATATTCACATTTCCTCAAGAAAGAGCAATGCTGAGCAAAGAAAGAGCAGCTGATATGTATAGATTGAGTGCTTACTTTTTGGCAAGAACCACTAGTGATCTTCCTCTTGATCTCTTGTTGCCTATACTTTTCCTTCTCGTTGTCTACTTCATGGCAGGCCTAAGGCTTAGTGCTGCTCCTTTCTTCCTCACCATGGTCACTGTCTTCCTCTCCATTGTGGCTGCTCAGGTATGCCTTCTTCTTCTTCTTTGGAGCTCATTTGGTTTGTTTGGAAGACTAATGTGAAGGAACTCTTCAAACATAGGGGCTTGGTTTGGCCATTGGAGCTTCACTCATGGACGTCAAGAAGGCCACGACTTTCGCCTCCGTCACCGTCATGACCTTCATGCTTGCTGGTGGATTCTTCGTACAGGTAAGATTATATTCTATTATAATCTCTAAACTTTGGTTTTTAGTTCATATACTTTGAACAAAGAACAAACCTGCATCTGTAGCCTTTGCTATCAACACTTTTGGGTGAAACTTTTGCAGCAAGTTCCAGTGTTTGTATCTTGGATCCGCTTTTTGTCATTCAACTATCACACGTACAAGCTCCTTCTAAAGGTGCAGTACAATAACATCATACCTGCCGTGAACGGTATGAGAATGGACAATGGAGTAGTTGAGATTACTGCACTAGTCGCCATGGTTTTCGGGTATCGTCTCCTGGCTTACATTTCGTTGAGGAGGATGAGGCTTCACTCAGGAAGTTAATATAACAGAAACGCGTGATTCGCTACAAGAACATTCAGAGAATTGGTTTACTTGAGCTTGTATTTGAGTTGCAAGGTCTAACAAGTAGTAAGAATCTCCATTTTGGAAACTTTATTGGTATTGTACTCCTAAAAGAAGGAAACTTACCCTCCGAAACGGGTGATAGCATCGAAGGAAAAATGAACACGTTACTGTCGGTTTGGCTTGCTCATGGAGGTGCTTTTCACTTCAGCATCTAGCTAGAACAGTTGCATCCAAATATAGCCTGAAACAGTAGAGTTTAGTTCTCAATCCATGATCATAGAATGTTGGAAGAAGTTTTCATTTTCTTTCTAATAAGAGAAACATTCTGTTCAAATGTTCTTTTTTGGTCCAAACACTCTTTTTCTATTCGTTGACAAATTGGTTACTGATGCATGAATCGTAAATGTATGAATATGAAGTTACCTACTCGTGCTCTATCTCTAAACAGTTAACGCAGTGGTTGTTACACAGCTAATGTGAGAACCCACATCGGTCGGAGAGTAGAACGAGTCATTCCTTATAAAGGTGTGGAAACCTCTTCCTAGTAAACGCATTTTAAAACTGTGAGGCTAACATCAATACATAACGGGTCAAAGCAGACAATATTTATTAGCAGTGGGTTTAGGCTGTTACAAATGGTATCAGAGCCAATCATCAAACGGTATGCTAGTGAGGACGCTAGGCCCCAAGGGGGTGGAATGTGAGATCCCATATCGGTTGGAGAGTGGAACGAAACCTTCTCTATAAGGGTGTGGAAACCTCCCCCTAACAGACGCGTTTTAAAACCTTGAGGGAAAGCCCAAAGAAGACAATATTTATAGAAGTGGGCTTGGGCGGTTAGAGTTAACAATATAAAGCTATTACGCGACGGACTAAAGGGGGGATTTCTTTTCAATCCCCGACAAAGTAGAAAGAATCAGGGGCAGTGAAACTCTAGCCAAACTAAGAAGAAGCTAGATGCCATTAAAAACGTAACCAGAACTCTGAACAAACGAATTGTTTAGTCCATTAAACAAGTAACTCATGTTAGATGAACACGACTCTCCACAATGATATGATATTGTCCACTTTGAACATAAGCTCTCGTGGCTTTACTTTGGACTTCCCAAAAGGCCTCATATCCATAGGAGAGTATTCCTTGATTATAAACCCACCATCATTCATCATTCCCTAAATTAGCCGATGTGGGACTTTTATTCAACAACTCATTCCAGAGACGAGGATCAGCAAAGAAGTTCAGATCTTAAAGTTAAGCAAATCTAACAGCAATTGTCACTTTATCATACTGTATTGCATGAGCTAAACTAGTTTCAATAGACTACCCACATTAGTAAATAATCACGAAGAATCTGGAAAACTCGAAAGAGGTATATAGCTCACCAATATCTGCAGCTACTCGAACTTTTCAGTCCTCAAACTCGCCCCAGAAAAGCCTTCTGGATAACCCCAAATTCTTGCGATTGAACTCAGAATTTCTCGCACATCGCTCTCTGTAATACTCATCGGAGATCAATTAGGGATTATGGCATCAGGGTTTGTTCCTATCTAGAATTCGGGCGTCGCCCAGATGAGAAAACAAAGAAGCTTTACACTCCGAGACCAAGTCACTGAGCTTGTAGCCAGCGGATTGAGAAGTGAACGCCAACCCTAGCATGGAAAGTGAGCGGACAACAGCCATTTTGATCGAACCGCAAAGGAAGCTAAACCAGAGGTAGGGTTTCGATTCGAACCCATGATTTCTTTTCAACATCACACAAAATGGGCGTCCGATTTGCTCTTCTTTAATCGCAGAACCAAAAATGGAAGCTGAAAAATGATTGTTGCGTGGTGCAATTACTTGGCTCGTGGGTGGCGCCGGCGGGTAACACATTTTCCTCACCATAAATGGATTACATTATTTACGGAATATAACAATTACAAACTAAAAGGTCATTTTTCTAAATTTGAAAGAACAAACAAAAATTTAATTAAAATATAAACCAAAATCTATGGATCAAATAAGTTTAAATATTAAAATCTAAAAGTGTATTTTACTCTATATTATAACTAAATTTTATAAATCTAGCATAATGTCACACCAATATTAATATTAGGCTGAATATTATATAATTGATAATTATATTTAGATTGAATATTTATTTAAAAAAATTAATTGTTCATGACGCGGCATCCACGTGTCACTCTTGAAGATAACAGGTTCCATAATACAGCTGCCATACATGCATGATACAACAGCTTTACGTTTCCTTTTTCCTTTTTTTTTTTTCATTAATCACATATTTCCATTAATAATTTATAGATAATATTTATTATTAGTTTTTTTTTTAATTAAGTTATACAATATTATTATTGTATTAAAAGGATAAAAAGAAGAAATAAAAATAAATGAGATTTGTTTAATTTGTATAAATTATTTATAGATAAGGCTAAAATGAATAAATAATGAGGATAATAATATGAGTTGTCTTATTTGGCCGACACGTACTCAACTACACATCCGTCGTCATCGCTGTACTTTCTTCAGAGTTTAAGCCTCTACTCTGTTGACACGTGGATTTAGGCTCCACCTCAGCTTTCTTTATGAACAACGATTTTTTTTTTTTTTTTTTTTTGGAATTTATATAATTTCACACGGCTTCTCAGTTGTCAGGAGTTCGGCGTTTGGTTCAGATAGCGATTCTTTTAGATTCATCCAACGGCTCCACGTTTACGTTACAAAACATTTGACTTTTTTTTTTTCAAACTCAATTTATATTTAATTACTATTAGTATTGGGTCAATTATATCACCAAAATACGTTATAAATATTATTCCGAGAAATGGTTAGTTTTAAAGTCCTTAAAATATCATAATTTAAATATTTTATTATAAAATATGTATACTCAAGAGTAAATATGTTGAATTTTTTTAAAGAATTTTTTTAAAATTTCAATAATATCTATGGGTATTTGAACTCGAGTTTCCGAGAAAAAGTAGAATACTTGATGAAAGAACGGAAAAGCTCTTGCTTTCTAAAATGATGAATATTGAGTCTGTGGAGTTGCAGATACTATAGATCCTATGACTCCCAATCGAGTTGCCTTCCCAAATTTCGATGAGAAGAAAATCAAGTGCATAAGGCTAGGCTGTAAAATGGCCTCTCTCGTGGATCGACATAATAAACAAGTGTTGAGTACTAAATATTTGATTCAGCTTTTATATCTCCAAAACATATAATTTCTAGATATAAGACAATAAATCTATCACATTTTGAGCATAATTTTATAAATAAGACATCTGTTTCATCTAAAGAGTTCACAACTCGATCCATCACTCTAACCAAAAATACTGTCGTATTATATATATATATATATATATAAAAGAAATTAAGTAATTATATACTAATTTTTAGTTGAACATAATCGTGTGAATTGCACGTTTAATATTATATATACCAATTTATAAATTATGAATTCTTAATTTATTGCTAATAAAATATAGAGCAATCAAATTAAATATATGGTGTTATATTTTGACCAAGAAAGCTTCTATTTATTTTATTTTGGCCCCGAAATCATTTTTAACATTATATTATTATTCCAATATTTTAAACAAATTAACGAAAAGAAAATAAATATAGAAAGAGAAAGATAAGATGAAGGATACATTATAACGCTTCTCTGTAAGCTCACCATTTTCGTTCAAAATCCCATAACAGAAATTCCTCCTTTCTCTCTATTCTCCCCCGTTAATAGGATCCTCTCCTCTCGGAATCTTTCAAACCCTCCACTAATCTTCAGATTTCGCCGCCGTCATCTTCGCCTTCCCCGGGCTTCTTATTCTCCCCCTCTGCGCACTCTGTTCTCCGGGCCTGGATTGCTGATTCCCGGCAACTCCAATCTCCGCCGTTACAGCCTCTTCTGTTCTTGATTGTTGTACGATTTCTGCTTGAGGTTTTGTACTTCGATAGCTTCGGGAGGCCTACTTTGTGGGAGGAGGGATTGGAGTTTTGATTTTATTGATTTGTTTTGGTGTGGTTTGCTTTATTCTTTCTCCCGGAGTGGTTTGGATTTGATTTGATTTTGGTTTCGATTTTGATTTTTAGGGTTTTTTGTTTAGGGAGAAGGTTTGAGGGATTTTTCTTGATTCTTTCAGATTTGGAGTTCGTAGTGAGGAATTTCTCTCTTTCGATTTGTGATTTTGCTCGGCGATTTTCTATCGAGACAAGCACAGGCGGAAAATAGAGAGGAGGTTCCGATCAACATCAGTGAGTTCTATCGTTGAGGCTCGCCGAAGAAACGTAATGTCGAATACGGTTATGTTCCGTCCGACATTGTCGAACCCTCGACAAACTCTGATACCGAGCAAATCCGTCTCTGGCACTGTTCGGTTCGCAGAGGTAGCCGGTGGCACGACCGCAGAGTGTGCCGCTGTGTTCTGCTGTTGTCCTTGCATCGCCGTTAACTTCCTCATCCTCGCCATTTACAAGGTTCCGGCCGGCCTCTGCCGCCGCGCTCTGAGGACAAAACACCGACAGAGCGTGAAGAAGAAGAAAGCAATTCATCCGGCGAGGCTCGGCCGATTCCCTGGCGGAGTTCTCGACGATGGGGATATTCAGGTTATTACGATGGAAAAAACGGTGTACTCAGAGGAGGCGGAGAGGAAAGTGGTGGAACTTGAAAAGGAGATGTGGGATATTTTTTACAGTACTGGATTCTGGAGAAGCCCTTCACAGAGAGATCAAATTTCAAGCTCTAATTGAGAAACGATTCCTCCGTTTTCTTCCCTAATTCCTCTGCAAAATTTCCTAAAAAATGAATGAAAAGGGAAATTTCTCCCTCTTCTTCACACTTTTCTGCGTTTGAATTTAATTTAATTTAATTTATTTTTTTCAGAATCAAAGTTCTTCACCTTTTTTCTCATTCTCATGCTGTCAATCTTCCCCAAAAAACATGTACTTCGCTCTCCCTCTCTCTCTCTCTCTCTCTCTCTCCCTCTCTCTCTCTCTCTCTCTCTCTCTCTCTCTCTCTCTCTCTCTCTCTCTCCCTTTTCATTTTAATTATCTTCTACGAACGCCAAACCAATATTTGGATTTATTATTTTTTATTTGTAGTAATTTGTGTTAGGCTTGAATGATTTTTCCCCCAAATTTTCGTTTTAATTTTTCTATTTAGTTCATTTTAACTTTAAAATAGTTTTTTAAATTTTAATTTAAAAAGATTAGGAGGAATATTTTGAATACAAAATTGAATATATATTTACATTTTTTTATAAATTTGTAAGACCTAAAATGATTCGAAAGTTTATGGAATAAAATTTTAATTCAATCAATTTTTTATATTTCATTTCATTTTTTGTCAATTTGTGTGATAATACTCTATCAAAATTTATATTAATTCCAACAAAAAGATAGATATTAAATTTAATTTTTTTATTTTAATACGTTACATTATTCACCTAGTAAGTTTGAATTCACTAGTTTAATTAATCATATAATTTATTAGGTAGAGAAAATAATTGTTTCAAATTCTAATTAATTACTTTCTTTTCAAATAAATTATTATAATAGATTAATTACAATAATTTAACAATATACGTTACAACTCCACCCACGGAATTTTTTTTAAATATATATATATAGACTCGTTCAATTTAATAGATATATGATCTTTATATGTTGTGGCTAGTTTCATTTTTATCGTAAATAACTTTTTTTTTTTTATCGTATTTTTTCCACCACGCATGATAGGAAGAAATATAAGGACGTGGCAGTTAAAAATTATGATGGAAAAAATAAGATAAACGAAGAAAAATAAATAAATAATCACTTTGAAAAAAAACATAGACTAAAATTAAATAAATAAATAAACAGCAACAAAATGAGAGGAAAATAGGATTTAAATTATAAAAAAAATGTAATAAAAGTTAGAAAAAGAAAATAATTTCGAGTAGTTGGAAAGGATAGTCAAAAGCATTGAAGGAAAGCAGTTTCTCTGCACACCATGTGCTCTCAACAGTCATTTTCCAACTGCAAAAATGTTTTCCTCAGGTGCTTCTCCTTTGTTTTTATTATTATTTTTGTACCATAAAAAAAAACATCACAAGATTCAACCTATCATCTCGTCTTAGTAGCATTTTTAGTTGTTGCCTCGACCCGTATGCCATCTATTCCAATCCTTTGCAAACTCGTTTCTATATCGAGCTCCACTTAATAGTTCAAACTTAACTTCCTGTTAGTAAATATTGTCAGTTTTGGCCTAGTATGAATCTGCAACCTCGAAGCCCAAGCCCATTGTTAGAGGGTATTGTCCACTTTGACCTGTTACATACTACTACTGTTAGTCTCGTGATTTTAAAAAACACATTTTAGCTTAAGTTTCGCACTCTTCTAAATAATATTTTGTTATTGTTTCTAACCGGAAGAACCCACTCATCAAAATAAGAGCTTATAAAGATTCGATTAACATTTTTATTCTTATATAATGATAAAAAAACACGTTAAGATTTTATATAAATTTTAAAATTAAAGTTTAATTTAAATAATATTAACTGAGATTGATTTGATTTGGGTTATTTAACATTAAACCTATGGATTTTAATGAAATCCACATTCATGTTTTGCTGGCAGTGTCCAACCAATCATTGCCTGCCATTGCAGATTAATACTTTTTAAATTTGTATATATTAAATTTAATAAAATCCACATCACTTTAGAATAATAGGAATGGATTATATTCTATAATTTAAAATTTAAAATTTTTAATTTTATTTAAATGATTTTATCTATAAAACCTTTTCTAATCTTATTTTAAATGATTTTAATGCTGGGGATATGGAGCGGATGCTAGATTTGATAGAGATATATCTGTTAAATTATATTTTGGGTAAATTGAAATCATATATATGGACGGCTGAAT